AATTTGATATGATTACTTTCCTACTGTTGGAAGGAAACTTTCAGGACAGTGCTTTTCAGACCTGTTAACCTGTTGTATGGGAGCATTAAAACCTGTTGGATGACTCTTGCATCATTATAATCACAGAGGATTATTCTTTTGTTATTATTCTACAAAGGAGTTATGAAAAGTCCCTCATCCTGGATGAAAACACTCGTTTACTCGAGTTGTTCCTCTAATTTGTCACCCTTCTGACAATGCCACATGAGGGGTCACTGAATGGTTTGATGAAATTGATGTGATTCATATGCCGTGGCCTTCACAGCCACCAGATCTCAGTGAACTTGAACACCTTTGGGGGATGTGGGAGCGACGTGTTAGACAGTGTCTGCACCACCATCATCAAAAATGAGGCATTATCTTTTGGAAGAATGGTGTTCATCCCTCCAGCAGAATTCAAAGGCTTGTAGAATCAATGCCAACGTGCACTGAAGCATGTTGGGTCGCCCAACACCTTAATGAGACACTTTATGCAGGTTTTTCCTTTCCTTTCACCTGTTTGTCTGTTCCTCAGCCTTTTAGCCAGGGCGGGTTTGGTTGTTCCCAGATGTATGGCAGCAGCTTTGGTGGGGGATTCAGAGGACCCGGCGGACAGCCCATGGTCAACTATAGTCAGATGCCTCTGGGACCCTACGTCAGCGGTAAGGATCGATTGTAACACAAATCCTTCACAGATGCCATTTTGGCATTTTATAAGCAAAGATCTAAAGATGTTTCTTTAGTAGGAACACTGTTTTTGGTTGTTGTAATCAATCCTGTAGGCAGGGTAAGCTGGATTTTTTAAAATATAAGTAAAAATATTTTTTCACAAATTGCACCAAATTACTACATTTGAATGAGATCTGTATTTCCGTATACAAAATATGCCAGTCCTGGATTAATGTGAGTTGCAGTACAACATGGGACTTAAACAAATCATTTTTAATAATTACAGTAGATTGTACTGACCAACTTAATTCCTGAACTCTGCAGTATCATTATTACATCAGCATCACGCCTGAAAAGAAGTCAGTAGGACAAGAAACCTGAGCTTTCAGACAATCATACAGGTTAGGGTGAGCCAAATGTATTTGTAAGAGAAAACTAAGGTAAACAGTGAGATTTTATCCACTGTGAATGACCATCAGACGTTCTGCACGTGCACACTTCCAGTTTTGAATTTTTAGAAGTTACTGTGCTTGTTCTGTATGTGAATCATTGAAACATCTGTCTCACACTTCTCATGATAATAAGCGAAATTAAACTGGTATATTTGTTTTGCTCCAGTGAAGGACTAAATATCGAATCTTGGTTGTCTTTAGTGTCTACTAATGGCCCCCCACCCCCTACAAGCCATCTGGACAAGAAGTCACTTGACTCCTTGAGAGACGTGGCTACGCCTGACCTCAAGTCAGGCAAACCTAGTGATGTCATCTGTATTGAGGACTAGAGGAGCTCTGTAACACTGACTTGAGGTCGGGACCTCCCAGGGATGGATCTGTATGGATGACAGCTGCCCGTCTCTTCCGCCACATCCTCCTCTTTCTCCTGCTCCTTCTTGACTTAAAATCTACAAAATCAAGCTTTCTGCTGTCTATGGATAAGCGATTAACTTTTTGATTAATGCAGATATACCTATCTTAACGATTGCACTTTTATCTTTTGATGATCCTATAGAAGTATTTCTGTGGATATTCGCTTTTGTTTACCTGTGTTGGAGAGCAAAGGATTAGGAAGGAAAAAGAAGCAGCTTCTCTGAAAGAGGATTTTTTTTCAGCCCTGTAAGACGAAACTCAAGCGGGTTTCTCATGCTCTTGATCCGGGCTCAATCTTATATCGAAATGTGTGTTTTGTTTGTGCCAACCTCAACTTCTTCATTCTGCGTGCTCTTTGTTGCTTTTACCCATCTGCCTACTCACTGTGACTGTGCCCCACTGGAACTTTCCATGTGAAGAGGAGCGGCGTCAGTTTGATTTTCCCGAAGGCCAGTGTTGTCACTTTAAATGAGTATGTTTTGTCATTCATGTAGTACCCAGTAGATAAAGTATTGATTTGAAAGCATCACAAGCTATGACCATGTATGCAGTAGCTGGACACAGCTGAGCCCTCAAAAGACTGCCACCTGTAATTTGGAGAAAGCTTTTGCCAAACCTGCAAAAGCACTTGACTGCAGCACCGGTAAGGGTTGGCCTCTTGTACTGTATATACTCAGAGACTGCTCTTTATTTTACCTCTCATAGGTCAAATCATAGTGAAATATGTATAAATACACGGATGAAATCAGAAGCCTGGCTTGGGGTGTATGAAGATCGGCAGAGCAGAAGAAACTGTGAAAGCAGCAAAAATGATTTTTAATCTATTTCAGAGAAGACTGAGTATTTCTGTGTATGGTACAATAATTGTGATTCTTTCTATATTTGAATGTTTGTAGTGGCTGTAAAGCTTAAGCCTGGGACCGTGACCAGAGGGACTACACTATGAACAGGAGCTCATCTGGTCTACATCCATGTACAGGGATCGAAAGTTCAGGCCAAACAGAACAGAGTCCTGAGTGGTTTTAGTTTCCCTCTTACATCCCAGGGATTGTCCCAGTTCCCCTTCATTGTTTCATTATAGTCACAAAATGAGCCTTTGTTTGCTTCTCTTTATGTTAAGGTAAAATTAGATGTAGTCGGTGCCATTAAAGAAGACGAGCCAGTATGATTTGTTCCTTGATGCAGTGTATTGCCTTCATGGAGTTGACAGCGTCACAGTCTGAACATGCATTTGAAGAATTCTTCTCTGTATTTCAGCTTTTACGGACCAATGTTGCACAGCATTACTCTGTAGATAATGTCTTCACCTCCAGCTTCCTTCATTAATGTTTTAGTTCTTTTAAAACCGTTTGTTGTCGCCTGTTGCTTTGCCTGGTATGAAGGCACTTTAGCATGGTATATTTACATATCTAGTCCATGCCATCAATCGTTACATGCTAAAGTAACTATCCACTAAGTAAAACTGTCTTTTATAAATTCAAGCTTACTACAGTGTATTTCCTTTTCTATGGTGGCATTGCTTGAATGTTTTGACTCAAAGTGCAAATTGTTATTGACATATGTTTGTTTTCTTTTTCCAAAGATGAGTGGCAGTACTTATTTTTACTATTATTGCCATTGCCACAGCTCTTATTTGACATTGTTGGCATTATGATTTTCATTAGACTCATCTAAACTGAAGAAACAGTGTTGTATAGAGTGATCATATTTTCTTTTTCTCCTTCAACTCACAACGATTGTCCTGAGGTGCTCTCTTCTGTCCCCTTTTCTCTTGGATTTGTGTCACTGCAAACCCCGTGCCCATCATTTCTCCAACAAGATGCATTCACTTAGACACTAAAGTTCAGTTACAAAACACCATCGGACTTATTTTGAACGCACTGTGAGATGAACCTTGAAGTGCATCATAGTTTTTTGTGCTATTCTTTCCTAGTGTTAATCAGTGCTGTTTTGATGATTGTGTTTCTGTTGATGACATCCATTACTTGACCATGACATGTATTAGGTTGCTTGACAGATAGAACCTCAGAAACATGTAAATACTTGAATGATTTTTGAGAGACTAGTCGACCTCGAAAAAGATGAATGTCTGCTGGATGGTATTGCCATAGAACTGCAGCGTGCACCACATGTGCTCATCGATTGAAACCATGTCTCTTCTCTCTGGAGTGACGACGTCAAAAACACAGTACTCCAGTGAAATGCAATCAAACTGAAGTCAGTATGAATGTAATGTCTGTTAGAAAAAAAAGGCTTCAGTCTAATATTATAAATATGTTAACACTGTATGTACGTGCTTATTAACATGGCTTCAAAAGCTACCAAAAGACCGTGACTAAAGGCATCATTGTCGCAGTGAATGCACAGCATGTGAAGCGGACAATACAGCGGTTCACTTTGGGGAGGCTGTATCGTATCTAGCATTTACAGACAATGAGCTCCAAGCAGTGTTCTGGTTCTGATATTTGTTCTGTATAGCAAATTGAATGAAAAAGTGAATTGTCATCTTTTTATTTGTATTCTGTGTATTTGTTCAATGTGTTTTAATAAATCTTCTGGGCAACAGAAACATTGTGCGATAAATATTTCCCCTTGTAGTCAGCCTGCAGATGAATGAGGAAGGAACTGCTTAAGTACTTTTATTTTTGACATATCAAGTATTACATATTTTATTCTTCTGATTAAGTAAAATTTTGAATGCAGGACTTTTATAGTAGCGGGGTGTTTTTACACTGCTGTATTACTACTTTTAGGAAAATAATGTGAATACTTCTTAATCAAAAGTGCTTGTTTAATATTTAAGGTAATGTTATAACATACATTAAGACACAAACTGCACACAGGCAACCCAAAGGTCATTGCATGAGGTTTGTGTCTCTTTCCTGGTTATTTTAATCTGCCGTAAATATATAGTAGTCTTCTGTATGTAGTTTGACATATTTGCTGAATGAATGATTCAGTCAGCGAATGAACACTGATACTGTTTCACACCTTTCAGGTCCCATCTTACTGTGTTTATGTGCATGTGGTAGATTTGTGTAGCTTTATGTGACAGTGTGTTAAGCACTTGTTGCTTTCTAATTTAAAAGAGGTCTCAGGGGAGACTCCTGATTAAATAAGGGTAAAACATAAAAATAGGAAGTCTAATGCTGTCACCAAACACAACTGAAAGCTACATACAAGTGTCAGTGTTTATATTTTCATTTACATAGCTAGTGATGTACTAGTTTGCTGGTGAAAATCAGTTTAAATGTTTACAAAGGAACTATTCAGTTAATTTATCATCTTATGACAAATGTCCCCGGTGTTCCAGAAACCACCGTCCCAGGCAGTGGTGGTCGCAAAATCACAATAAATAATCTGTTCCAGGTAAAAGTCCTGCATTCAACATGTTACTTAAATAAAAGTTTTAGTGTTTTAGCATCAAGTACAAAGTAAAATAAGTCCTTATGCAGAATGGCACATTTCACGTTAATGTGTATTATTTCATTGGATTATATTGATGTGTTTGTGTTCATCGGGTAAAGCTGGAGCTAAATTGAACTACCTTAAATGCTTTTCATTTGAAGTCATGCTGGGTAGCTTTTGAATTTCCCATCAAGGATCAATAAAGTCTTATTGTGTATTTAGTTTAATTAATATGATTCTGAAAAGTAACTCCAGTTATCAAACAAATGTAATGTAATCGAGTGAAATACAAAGAAGCGGAAAACGAAAATAAAGTACATATGCCTCAGAATTGTAACATGTGAAATATACTTAGTTACTCACTGGTTCCAGGTGCAGTGTGAACAGACAAATTAAGTCCCAGGAAGTGTTATGAGACAGCACCGCCCCTAAATTCCCTTTGACCAGCCTATTTGCTATGAGCATCTCCCCTGATTGGTACAAATGCTGTGCTCTAAGCCTTTCATTGGTCGCATGTGTAACTTTGTCACTCTGCCATTGGCCGGTAATGCTTGAGAGCCCTCTCAGTGCTTTGTGCTGCTGCCTTGACAGCAGCAGGGTTCTGAAGAGTGGGTGGTGGGAGAAAAGGAAAGAAAAGACAGAATGAGGGTGGAGGGGCTGAGGGGGATAAAGGACCCATCTGAAAGAAGAGAGGCATAGAGAGGGGAGATAGAGAGGGGAGATAGAGAGGAATAGCACCAGAGAGCTGGGAGAGGCAGGAAGAAAGAGGTAGGAGCAGGGAGGGTTACCTCATCTGGAGCTGCTAGTGCACACGGAGCAGGGGAGAAGTTGTGGGAAAGTAAACAGCACAGGAGAATTCCAATCTGTGTTCAGCCCCTGCAGGAGACTATAAAGATGAATGTGCTGGACCCAGCCTGTGGTAAAATCTGAGAGTTTATGGGAGGTTACCAGCATTAAAGGGTCACCTGGGAATGCCTGAAGCTTCTCCGAGGACATACTACTAAGGACAAGGAGGTGAGAAGCATATATATATATGTATTTACTGTCCTCCAAACATTTTCCCTCTTTCCATCATTCTGTCTCTCTTCCTCTTTCGTCACACTTAGCATTGTTAGCATGTTGCACAGACAAGCCGCTTTGCCCAGGGCTGCCATTGATGGAGTGGTCCTGGGGGGTGGGTGTGCTGGTTTTGTGCCTCTCAGTCTGAATGCTTTAGGGACAGCTGAGTGGACACGGGAAGGTGGAGCAGGAGAGGAAAAGATGGGAATGGCAGATACCCGTGTGGCAGAGTACACACCATCACGGGCAATAAACCTGAGCCTGCCTCACAGAACCGGTGTGGCTACAAAGCATAAGGCCTTGTTATGATCGCAGCAGTTCCTGAGACAGACACCAGGAAGGATGAGTGAGAGACTGCAGGCTATTGCCAGACACACACCTCTGGCCAGCTGGTTTTCAGCAGCACCGCACAGCTCTTCCAAAGCTTCAGGCTATAAAAGAGATTCTCTAGCCAGGACCAGGCCTTAACCATTCCAGTTTGACGGTTGCTTCCCAGAGTACAATAGCCCCTCCTAGGATGGATTTCATGCTGCCTCTAAACATTGAACAGAATAGAGAGGAGTGACGGGAAGGAGAGGGGTGAAAGGGGGGCTAAGGGACCTCTGACCAAGTGATTTGCATTTTGAGCTGGGGCACTGTTTCTGCCTCATTTATGCCGGATGTCCAAGAGCCTTTTTTGTTTAAGGAACTCCATGGACTCAGTGTATCAGATTCTTTTCTCTGTAGTCACAGCCCAGCACTTCCAACAGACATCAACAATCCATTCATGAATGGCCTGGAACTATCACAAAGACTTCACTATCAATAGGAGCTCTCTCCCTTTTGCCACACATCACCCATAAACCCTTGGACTCATGCAGTCATACTGTATGTTCACATGCAAGGCCTTGGTGCTCAAGTACACACACAATAAGTCATTTGATAGTGGTGACACACCTAACAAATGCTTGCTGGCGTACTATACTGGACATTCCTTTGGGAATGTCAGATAATTATCTAGCAGCTGGAATTCAGGGATGTTTGTACACTGAGGCTTATCTACAGCATTTTGCTGTTACACTTGCATCACGCTGTCTTTTTACTGTAAGTTCTTCTGATAACAAACTCCGAGGCCAAAGCAGCTCATCACAGATGTGAAAAATCACGAGCCTGAGCTTTCTTTGAATTGTAGGAAGATTTCTTCTGGCCAGTTTTAAAAGTATTATATGAAGAACAACTGAACACTTTTATTCAGGTGTATCTTTTTATGTATAATACCTGATTTGTTCGGCACATCAATGGAGCAGCCGCTCCTCTTTTGCACTGCTAGTGAAAGCTAGCCTTGCTACCTGAAGCTGTGCAGTAGCTAAAATCAGACAAACACAATGACTGTTGACAAAGGCAACATGTGACTGTGGGAATCTAGGAATCTGATTCAAAACCAAATTGCTAGAGGCCGTTTACATCTGACATTTTGGATCTGTCTAAGTGTGGTTCATAACTTATTTTTTGTACTTTGTGGTCCCAACTCTGGGCTTCCATGAAAGTGAGATTTTTGATTTTGTTGGTCACCTTTCCCTTTATGTACAGAAAGTATGAGTGGAATAATTGGATTACCAGTGTACATATGTGACTTGTATCATGGGGATTATTTAGCCTGTGGAAGCAGTTGGGGATCCTGTGTCAAGTCTGAGAAAATGACCATGATGACTTCTTAGTTTGGGCTTAGAACCTGGAAGGGTGGAAAGTTTGAAAGGTTTTGGGCATGTATCCGGCCACTAGTGTCTGTGGGCACCGTGTCATACAAACTAAAGATAGATGCTAGCTGCCCCAGTCTTGCATCATAGTGTGGAAAACCTTTAGCCTGTATTTGTTTAACAAGTTTGCAAAATTGGTTGTTGCGGCATATCTCTGGGTGCACAGACATCTATCACTGAATTACTTTGGTACGGAAACATTTACATGTGATGATTCTCAGGCAAGTTCTGGCATTTTAAAGAGAATCTTTTTTTTCTTTGACTTCTAAGGGGATTCATAGTCATATATAATCTCTTTTGAGTTTGATTTGACTGAGTTGCATTATAACTCACAGACAGGGTGCACAGTTTTAATGCTAATTGTTGAATCAGAAGTGCTAAGTGGTTTAAAGCATCTTAATTGCCTTTCACAGCCACTGCTGCAGCTTCAGCTGATGACATCGTTGGTAAACAGGCCAGAGGCCCTGGTCCAAACCACAAAATCAAACATCTAACTTTCTAAAGTTGTAAATTGCTTCTGAGAACCCTTTTAATGTGTAGAATGTGCACAGGTCAGAGACCTACCTGAGCTCATACTTTTATTTCTAGTCATATTGGCTCCCTTTATGTGGGCATAAATCTATTGTCCTTAGATCATTTGCAGTCGGTCCAAAATGCCTCAGCCTATTTGCTGACAGGTACTGATAAACTAGAGCCCATCACACCTATTCTCGCTTCATCCCATTGGCTCCCAGTATGGTTCCAGATTCACTTTAAAATACTTCTTCTGACCTATAGGACTTTAATGGCTCTGCTCCCTCTTATATCCTTGACCTTCCCTGTCTTCCAACTAGAATGCTTAGGTCTAAGGACCAGATACTTCTAGTGGTCCTGAAGGTCCAACTAAAATCTAGAGGTGAGCATGCATTTCTTTTTCCACCCCTGCTTGGTGGAACAACTTTACTTTCCATATTCAGATGGCATCATCTGTTTCTGTTTTTCAGTGTCAATTTATTTTTATTCTCTTGCTTTTAAGCAATATTAAGTTTTTAGTCTGGTTCAAACAGCTTGAAATTTTGTTTTCTGGAGGCCACAGTGCTGTATGATTTCTGGTGGTATGTCTTTTAGTCTATCCTGTTGTAAAGCCCTTTGGCCAACTTCTTTAACTGTGCTATATGAATAAACTTGACTTGACAAGTGGTGAGTTTGGCGGCCAAGGTTTCCTGCCATCCGAACAGTAAGGAGACTAACAAGACATAATCATAAGGTCCCTGCACTCCTTAAAGTAACTAATGACTTTCATTAATTTCTAACAGGTATCAGGAGAGACTGTAGCACATACTGAACATAACCTCCACCACACATGTTTCTCACAGCTATACGACCTGATGGATTCCTAAGTCAGATAATCATAGTCTGGAGGTACCCTAATAAAATGAAATTAAAGTAAGAATAGTAAAAATAACAGTAGCTTTACACAGTGGTGTAGCTGCAAGTAAAAGTAGGTGGTAGAAGGGAAGAGCTTGATTGCAACAGGGTTTTGAAATCCAGAAACACTGACAAAGGTGTTGGTTGAGTAGTCAACAGTGATCAATAACCCAGTAAAACCTCTGCAGTTACAACATTACAGTCACGCTCTTACAGGATTTATCATCTTTAACATGTAAAACGCTGAAAAATTGCATGCCAAAATTATTCAGAGAAATCGCTTTCCCCTTCCCTTCTAACCTGGACATTATTTTATCATGTTCAAAACTATGTTTCTTGATAAATAAAAGCATTGTGTGGTCCACACACTGAGGATGTTCTTATCACTGTTCAGTATTTGTACAGGACAGCACACACATGAGTCCAGAACACTATTGTGCTGTGGACACAAATGACAGATAGGAGGTGGCGGTTACTCCCATCGTGTCCTTGACACCACCGACACATCACTGTTGTTGAGGATGGGCTCACTACAGCAGAGGGCATCCAAAGGCCAGACTGGCTCCTGAATGAGTACTATCCCCCTGGAAGGTCTTAACAGTAGCATCCTGATGGCAAACCAGAAGGAAAGTAGAAATTAAGTGTCTCAACTATGCATAGATAGCCTTCTTATCAGTTGTGTTTACAGTGTGAACTGATATTCCACTCGACCTTTGGCACATACTGTCTTCAGAAATTCATTTAAAGTGGAATTTAAAATATTTATAACATGCATAATATATAATGCAATAGGCTTATCTTCCTCTGTGTTCAAAAAGCGTTGGTAGAGCAGTGTTATGTTTAAGCAGATCCATGAAATTCACAAATGTGTGCAAGCAGCCTCCCACTCAGACTGTTATGCCTTTTGACAGCCAAAGAAAGACATATTCCGCCTGTTCTCAAGGAGCTGTTTGCTGTTCCTAAATTGGCCATGACACACTCGTATCTCTGGATAAGAAGTCCTCAGGGAAAGTGAAGAAGGCACGAACACCAGAGGCGGAATCGTCTCTGCCTGGCACTGTTTGTTGTTGTCAGTGGTCCACTGGTCTCTCATTGTCTGCCGTGGGTTTGTGTACCATTTTAAGGAAAATCCTAAAGTAGCAGTGTTCTCAGCCACTTTCTGTTCGAGTTTCCGGTGCTGTTTATTCAGTCATCACCAGCAGGTGCCCTTTGCCATTGTCTATTGATATATCCAACTGCGACTGACCAGTGTCTGTGATGTTTGTCTGCGGCTGGTCAAACATTGCTCTCTGTAAATCAGTGGCTAGAAATAAATATGCACCCCAGCAGATTTGCAAACTCCCAGCTGAAAGCTTTGAATACAGTTACAGGTCAGAAAACCCTCTTTAGATCTTTCTTTGGTAAACCCTGTCATTTAATTTGCATTTAAAAAGCAGATTACATATCGTTGCTGTTTTGTGAAATAGAGTAAAGTACAATAAGGAACTGAGATGGAATCCTGCAACATAAACCAGATGCTAAATGCACATGAGATCCAGCTTAGTGTTGCACAAATTTAGAATGAAAATGAATCTGCAAAGCCTAGAATTGTATTCAAAACACACACAGCAGACATGCTATTTTAATTTTTCATCCAGAACATACACTGCTAATGTGTGACCTGGTGTGTGGCCACATGCACATACCGCCACTCATTGTCACATTTGACAGTTTTCAGAGCTCTATGTAGGTCAGTGACAGGGTGTGAAGGAGTTAGTTTAATCTCTATTCTGCAACGAACCCAACTTATTTTCCCATCAAGAATAGTTTTCGCTCATCACCACTCCCAGGGTTCTTTGTTTTTGTAAGCTGGAGTGTTTCTGATGACTTGTCCAAACACTTTCCCTCAAACAAAGCTCTTCAGAACAATGGGAATGATGATTTAAATAAAAAAATGTATTGTGTTCCAGTTTTTTATTTGTATTATCACGCTTTTTTCAAGGCACCAACTCTCGTTGATTTGCAATAATGTGAAACTATCAATGACACATCCCAGATGTCAGTGTGCTCTCATGTTCAATCTAGTTCCCTCCAGTGAACAATCAAGAATGATTGCTCAGTCAGCTTTTGTACAGAGGCATCCATCCATTTTCCTCCGCTTATCCGGAACCGGGTCGCGGGGGCAGCAGTCTAAGCAAAGATGCCCAGACCTCCCTCTGTCCAGACACTTCCT